CTTTGGAGACACCTGTAGAGCTCCTTTATAATCACCCAATTACGTTGTGACATTTGGTAGCACACAAAGTGTTCCTCCGGCAAACGGGAGTTGCATAATCTCATAGTCATAGGAGCATGTATAAGTCATGAAGAAAGCAATAGCAACATACTAAACGATCGGGTGCTAAGCTAATGGAATGGGTCATGTCAATCACATCATTCTTCTAATGATGTGATCCCGTTAATCAAATAACAACTCTTTTGTTCATGGTTAGGAAACATAACCATCTTCGATTAACGAGCTAGTCAAGTAGAGGCATACTAGTGACACTCTGTTTGTCTATGTATTCACACATGCATTATGTTTCCGGTTAATACAATTCTAGCATGGATAATAAACATTTATCATGATATAAGGAAATAAATAATAACTTTATTATTGCCTCTAGGGCATATTTCCTTCAAGCATGATGTCAGCATGACATCAGCAGTTGACCTGGTCAACCTGACAGGTGGGTCCCACCTGTCAGTGACACATTTACTTATCCAGTTTAATTAACCTAATCAGGATTAATTAGGGGTGGGCCCCACTGTCATTGACTATTTAATTGACTAACCATAGTTAGCTTAATTAGTTATTTGGTTAATCTAATTAAGGTTAATTAGTTTAATTAATTGTTCAGTTTAATTAATCAAGATTAATTAAGTTAATTACTTAATTAACTAATTATTATTATTATTGTTTATCTATTTATTTATTCATTTATTTTTATATAAATTATATATATTTTTCATTTTTGTTCTCAGGGGCGTGGGCCCCATTTGTCATTGGCCTAGAGGGGGCATAGCGGGTCGGGCACACCCGAATGGGTGCTGGCCCGCGGGGATGCACCCGACACGGGCGCTGCGAGCGCCACGGAGGGGCGGAGCGGTTGGAGACGGCGCGCTCGGCGCGACGCGTGCGTGCGCGATGGGGCGGAGGCCGCAGTAGAGCAGAACGAGGAAAACAGGGGGGCTCCGGGGCAGCAGCGGGCGCGAGCGTACGGCTCTGGGCTGCGGGGGCCGCGACCGAGCGCGGTGGCCGAAGGCAGGCAGCGGTCGACGGCGGGAGCAGTGGGCGACGAGCGCTATGGGGGGGGGAAGCTGGCGCAGCGGCGAGCTTGTGTGCGGGAGGCCCGACTAGCGAGTGCGGCAGCAGGAGGCGCGGGCGCGCGCGGCGGACAGGGGGGTGCGAGGCCGGTGACGCAGCCTGGGCGGGCGAGCGACGATGGCAGCGGTGAGGTCAGGCGAGGACAGAGGCGTAGCGTGGCCATATGCACATGCGGACGGGCGTGCGCGGGGTACGGTCGGCGCGGGGCGTACGAGGTGCGGCGCGGTCGAGCGCGGCGACCGCGGTGCAGGGGCGGCCAGATGCGCGGCGGGCAGTGGTTGGGCGACGCGGGCGCGAGCAGCGTGTGTTCAGGTAGTGCGGGCGCGCAGGCGCGCGTGTGCGGGGGCATGCTGGGCGCGGCAAGGCCACGACGGCAACAGCGGAACCGCGGGGAGGAACCATGGCGTGAGCGCGTGCGCGTGTGGAAGAGAGGAGGAGGGGGAAGCTCACGGGGACGATGTGGGGCTCGTGGCAGTGTGGTTGAGGAGGAGGACGGGCACGAGCCGACGATGGAGAGGACGGCGAGGCGGCTCCGTCGAGTGGACGAGCGGCACGAGCTCCGGGCGGCGATGGTGGCGCACGACGACGTCGAGAGGGCGCGGCTCCGGGCGGCGTAGAGGTCCGACGTTGTCGGGGCGAGGTGAGGCGATGGCGACAAGGTGGCGGGAAGCGGCAACGGCGAGGCGGCCGATGGCGTCGGGGCGTGGCCCGATCCAGATCGG